AAATGATCATACTGTTTTATACATCGTAGTTGACGGCCATTTTACTGGAAACGCTTACAATGAACTTCGTTATGTCCCTCAAGGTACGTTGTAATGAGGTGTATTAGTGACATATTTCACCATCTGTGCATGCTTTTTGAATTAAACATTCTCACTTTGGTCCATTTTTTTTCTTGTTAGCACCACACAAAAAGTGAAGTTGGTCCTCAGTGATTTGCCATTTTTAACAGCAGTGAAGATTATCGAACAGAATTCCCCTTTTAGACCCAAATTTCAGCTATCTCACGAGCAGTTAATAAACAAAAAATATGTTTGTTTGTTTTTTTATAATCTTCATTTTTGGGAGCTATTCAAAGCCATTACCCCCACCCCCCAAAAAGCAACATGACTTGACAGTGACGTCACACTGATTGCCCTGTGAGTAGATGTTGTGGAATTGTTGCAGTTACCTTCTGTAAACTCCGGATAATCTGAGTTTTTATGCTGGGGAACAGAGACACTAAAATAGTGATGCAATGTTGGGACATGACATTTAAACACCCACTCTGGTTTTGAACACTCTTGCACAATATGCATGTGCTCTCTCTTCAGAAAAAAGGATTGACATGTTCGCCTGTAAGAGGGAAAACAAAAGAAATGGAATCTTGCTTCCTCCCACACATGGGCTCTTTATGGATGCTATTTGTGCTTTACAACAATACTGAACACTGCTGAGAGAGATTAGCGTGTGTGTGTGTGTGTGTGTGTGTGTGTGTGTGTGTGTGTGTGTGTGTGTGTGTGTGTGTGTGTGTGCGCGTGTGTCTGTGTGTGCATGTCTTTCTTCAGCCAAACACTATAGCAACACTGGTGGAGATTAGAAAGCAAATCCTTGCTTCAGGCTTGTACTGTAGTTCATTTCCAGCTAGTTAAAGCAAGAAATTAAATTTAAAAGTCTTCAGTGTTTCACTTTCGATCAAAGTCAGTAAATTTTCAATGTAAACATGGACCAAAACAAACAAACAAAAAACAACCCCACCATTATTTTACATAAAAGAGTCATGAAAAAAAAATACTGAAAATGACCTCAAAAAAATTGGGCATAATTTGAGTAAATTTTAAATCTTTCAACTTGGTGAGAGTCCATGTTTGCTGTTAAGCGTATACTGGCATGCAGAGAAGGGCATTCCATCCCTGGAACAAAATTTGCCGGACAGACGCCGATTTTTGGGACGTAAGAGGGAGGACTAGAAGTATTTTAAAAAGGACAGACTAACCAAGGAAGAACTGGGTTTTTGTCCATCCCTTTAATCTCTAACCGGGTTCATGACCTTTTTCATCCCAACATTATTTTTATAGCACGACTGCCTCCTCGTGTCAGTCAGAGAACATAACAAAGTACCTACGTACACCTATTTCGCCAATGAGCAATCCAGCCGGTTAAGAAAGCCAGCTGTGTTGTAAGTCTCTCCGTATTCGCCCAAGATGCTTATGGCAATTGAGGCAAGTTATTTTCTTTTATCATAGTTGCTATTTTGGTGTTGTGAAAAACTCATAGGATGATGATGATGATGTCTTTGATAGGTCACTTGCAAACATGCTGAAAGGCTCTGACAAATCCTATGAATTTAAGGACTGTTGTACTTTTGATCTTGGCTATTTGCCACCTTTCCCATCACATAATTTAATTCTCCCAAAAGGTGTACACCCAACAAATGCCCTGGACAGACTGCAAAAAACGTTATTTGTTGCCCCAAAAAGGAAATGCTTTGTTTTCATTTCAAAGCTGTCAGAGATTGACAGAAAATCAATCACTCAAAACCCATGCCATTAAAACCGCACTCTAGCTAATATTATGCATATAACAAAATCTTACGGAATAAAGTAATGTTCATCTTTCATCCTGAGCACACCAAAAAATATGGAGTTATGGTCAATAATCAACCTCAGCACAATTAAAAGAGATTGGGCATGTAGACATTGATTTTGAGCAGGTAAATGTCGAATGGAAACATCAAGAAATTATCTCTGGTAAATGGTCAGGGTGTCTAATCATGATGATTTGTCCAGCGTAAACTGTGTTGGTCAATCGTAATTGCTTTTCTTTGTTTCTGCCTCATCAGTCACTTGAATTGTTCATTTTAAAATGCGTTCACTTAACTTTTGTAATGTTTGAAGTTTGCACTCAGCCTCAGCCCTTTATGAAAGACCGGCCCTTACTTGTTTCCATAAACAGGTTTCTCTTTTCCTGAGCATAAAGCAGAAGCAAGGCAAATGGAGCACAGAGGGAGAAATGGGAAACAGAATAAAACGTAGCATACCGAAAGCAAGATGAAGCAGAGCAGAATGGAAGATGGAGGTCAGATGCAGGACAGTGTGTATCCGGGGAATATTTAGGGCCGGGGAGGGAGAGCAGTGGCACAGATCAATATGACGGTAAGATAGAGGACATGTGGCTCCACCCAAGTCAACAGATTTTGAGAGCACAGGAGAGAAACATATTCAGGAGCCGATGCAATGAAGGTAGGGATTCTTAGAGAGTCTACATTCACAAACAATAGGTGACTTTCCTCAGTCGGTTAGAATACTTTACTTTGCTCATCCCTGAGGCAATTGGCTTGTTTTTGATGGCCTCTGGTGATACAATGAGTTTTGTTGTCAGTTTTTTTTCTTTTTTCCATTAAAAGCAAGTCAAATTGGGGTTTGCTTTGAACCTGTGCCCCACAGTTTGCGCAAAGCAAATAGCATGATTATACACCTGCTGACATGAGTTAAACCTGAGAGACGTCCAGTTATTCATTTGAAATGTATTATAGAGTATCTGTTTTCCTGCCTCATGACAAACAATTGCTTAAGTTTTATAAGGAGGATTTGAAGATGCATATTACACCCCTAATGAGACTTGGCTGGATTTGCCACAGCTTGAGGATTCAGGACTCCCAGCTGTGTGTGGAAATGTGCATACTTTTGGAATGTGGGAGGAAACTGGAGTATATGTATTCTTGCAGGCATATTTTCCCTCCTGGATAGTGCCCATGACACTCACTATTCTACAGTCCCGTCCCCCTCTTTCCACTTTGTGTAACACCTCAGGATGCTGGACTTTGGTTGGAACTCTCCATGAACTGTAAGAAGCTTTCTTGACTTTGTATCAGTTGCATGTCTTCCCGTGGCCAGTGTTATGCCAGCAGGGTATCTGATTATTGGTAGAGCATAGGCGTTAATGGCCTGGACCTTATTCTTGCCGTTCAGCTAACTATTCAGGATCCGCTTCACCTTCCTTCAGGATTTGGCCATGGCTTCCTTTTGAGCTGTCTCCTCATGGTTCCACTTTCCTTCTGGTTGACGCAACTTGCGGCAAATGACAATACCCAATGTACATGAAACATCCAAATTGTCTGTTATTTGTTTTTTCCATTTTTGATATGGGCATAAAATCATAAATGGGGATTTTTTTCCAGGGTTTTTTTGGAAATCGGATGAACTAATGATACACGGATTCTAAGTTAGCACCTCCAGTTCTAAAGGGGAAAAGTAACTTGACCTTATTCTCTCAGTCGCCATGGCTTTTCATTTTATTGTCGAGGTTGTGCACACGCTGAAGGTGAACACATTCAGAGCTGATTCAACCGATTTCAGATTAGCTGTTCACAAACTGGAAGATCAGAGTTCACAGGTTTAGACTCAGTTTGTTGAACCTCCTTTCTTGAAAACCCCTCTCGCCCACTCTTCAAGTGCGCTTTGTTTATTTTATGTTTTTTTATGATGCCGATCACACTGTACTCAACCGCAAATTATCCAAATGAAAACAGCATTGGATTGACTGATGGATTGCCAGCTTCATTTCCCTCTGAAGGAGTCCATCTTTCATCTCCGAGCCACAGACCAATGTGAGGTGTGGATGGAAGCAATCGAATTAGCCCCACCCACTGCGGCTCGCAGCGACTGATGGGCGGTTGGATTCCATTACACAAACTCTATCTAACCCGGACTGTGGCTTATCTAAACCTCATATCCCTGACAAGACTCCATACATCACCCACAGGCTAATAGACGAAGGCCGCGCCCACAAATTTACCACATGACCTATCGATCTGACTCACAGTGGCACCAAGCGTTTGCCCTTTTCGTAATAACTACAGTCATACTGAGAGGGTATTCGACTGTGTTGCCACTCATGTTGATGACATACCTGTATATAATCAGTATAATTGTATGGTTCAACAATCCGCCATTGTAACCCTCCATTGCCTATTAAGTAAATTACAATTTATTCCAATGATTGTGGTATAAATGCGAGCATGGGTGTTTGTTCGTCCAGGAGTGAAGCATCAGTGGTGACTCTAATGTCACTCCGCCGGCTGATAGCAGAGGAACAACATGTCGACTCCAGCATTCTTCGCAAAATCTACATCGGTATTGTATTTCCTTTCCTGTATTTGCAGCCGCTCAGAGAATCAACCCGCAGGCAGCTGCATGTCGGTGCCATGAAAGTAATTGCTTCATTTTCTATCATCACATTCAAATGACATATTATGAGGAAACAACCTTATCGGTCATTTTGCTCAGCCCTGGGGGGATAAATTTCACCTTCTACAATTTATGTTTGGTTTTTTTATACTAGCAGGTTTTGTATGGCAGGTTCTCCATGCCAAAAGACTCTTGTCTTCGAGGAGTGCTGAAACTCATACTGTAAGAACCAAGGTTTTGTAGTTATTTTATTACATTTTTTTGTATTACTTTTTGTTTTGTAATTCAGTCAGTATGAATTAGTTGTTAGAGCGGGTTTGCTCAGTTTTTTTTTTCCGAATTGTGTTTTTTTTGGGGGGGTGTGGGTAACGGTCTATTTGTGAGCAGTGATTCCAATGAAGTTGGTTTTCATCTCACTGAAAGGACTTCTTTTGATGTTTTTTAAAAAGTGTTTTTGAAGAAAATGGAAATTCGAAGAAAATGGAAAAGTACCACAAAATTTTAGATGTGTTTGATTCATTTCTGATTAAATTCATGAGCAAATAACTGTCCGATTGGAACACTCTGATTTGAAAAGCTATGTTGCTCTGTTGGCCTTCTATGGCCTGACATTGTGTTAACATTGGACCTTGCTTGAAGTTCTCTCCTCACCACTCGCTCCACCCGCAAAGTTGTGCCTGATTGGCTGTGGCAAAATGCACAAAAGTTATCTGAGAAATGTTTCAAGAAAACTATACAGTTTGAAGACTACTCAACTCACCTTTATTCACACAGCACTTTGCACACATCGGCAGCTCTGGCAAAGTGCTGTTCGTAAAACACAAAAGACAATCATTCGAATAATAATAATAATACGTCAAGTCATCTTTTCTCATTGAAATATCAAAATATAGCTCCTTTTACATTGGCGTTGAGCATAGAGGAGGTCTCCATGATTATTTGGTCTTGTAGATGGCAGAGAGGAGCCGGACTGAAGCTCTAAAGGCCAGAATCGTAGATGTCGATGGCCCGAACACTGAACTTGCAATCTGGCGATCACAGCGTACATTATGTGTCTGACGTTGGCTACAAGCCGAGTTGAAAGTAAACAAGCAACTGCAGTTTTCTAACAATTGAAAGTTCATCCGCAGGCAAGGCGCAATGGGCTCCAAGTTGGCTGGTGAAGCTCTTGGTGGTTGCAACTCCTTGAGGCCGCCGTAAAACTGGACGTTGCGTAACAGTTCGACTGATGTTGGTGACCGGTGAAGTTTTCTGGACTGCTCATTCAGTTCAGGGTCACTGCAGATGTCAGCGTCTATCCCAGTGGACTACATCCCTAACTGAGCTCCTGTCAATAACAGGGTGATTTGAGGGCACTGTGAAAAAGAATTGATCCCATGACGGTTACGCAAGAGCTAATATAAGTCGCTGGTGACAAGGCAAATATTCAAAACAAAATAAAAAACAGTGTGTTGTGTCCGGCCAATAACATTGAAATGTTTCTCTTCTGCTAATGACTGACATGTGGAAAGTTGACTTCAAAGTCTGACATCTGGGAGTAGTTTGACACCCATCTGTTTTCGTCCTCCTTTCTTCATTGATCACGCCTCTCGTCCTGTCTGTTCACATGTCGTGATTCCTCTCACTCACTCTCTGTCCCTGTCACTCGTCGGCCATCTCTTTCCTTTCTGTTCGCTCCTCTGGGCTCTGCTGAACTGGCCGAAACTGAGCAGACACTCTTTAGTTCCTGCGGGACTTGGCTTTGGCCAGATTGGGTGACATCCTAATGGCGCCGATGAGACGGAAACACACACGCACTTGGCATGCATATGAGTGTGTGTTGAGGATTACAGGGAGGAGTTCATTGTGTGTGTCAGTCCCTGGATGGCCTTTAGCTCCCATCAGGGCATGCTCCGATACCATGGTCTGATTGGTCTCAAACTCTCCTGACAGGAAATCCATTTGTGTGCGTGCGTGTGTGCGTGCATGTGTGTGTGTTTGTGTGTGTCTGTCGGTGTGTGGGTGAAGCATGCATCTGGATGACAACTAAATTGAACGCCAGTGCCGAAAAGGCCACGGGATCAAAATGAGAGAGATGAGCACAGTGCTGCATGGAGACGCTGCAGCCATGAAGTCATAGAGAAGTGTGCGTGAGCGTGCGTGTGGATGTGCACCTGAGTGCATCGGCTTTTTCAGTGGTGTGCTAAATAGCATTGCCACTTTAAAACGATCCTGCATCATCGTCTTCACAAACAGATTCAATTTTAGTTATCACTGAGGAACACTACTAAAAAATGGAAAAAAAAAAGGCAGTCCCTCCAATCACATTTGTCATGCTACCTACACTAATGCCCATGTTTGTCTCAGGTGTGTGTTTCGGTATGTTTGCCTCACATAGCAGGGAGGCCAGGAAGGCTGATTGCTGGTTGACCGCAGGACTATTTTGGGGTCCACTTTCATTTGTGGGGACTGTGATAATTAATTTGCTGTGAACAGATGATTGTAGTAATTAATTTTCTACAGCTGGATGATTAAGGGTTGCACATGTCCCGTTGTGACACGCACTGTTTGGCCGATTAGTGCCTTGGCTGGAAACAGACCTCCACCCATTTTCATAGTTGTAACCGAGTCCAACTAAAAGAAATCAATTTGGGCGGCCATTCAAGCATTTTTTTTTTCATCGCGCTTGACCTTATTTGGGGAATGAGTGAGCTGCAGATATCCAGAATACACCCTCAACTAGTCACCAGCCAATGGAAGGCTACATGTGGTGTCATATGAGTGATCCAACTTAAAAGTTTTTCAAGATTTGAGCCATCGTTGGGCCGACTTTTGCTTCGGCTTGTGAGGGAAAACTTGAGTTAGGAGTGCTGTATGTTGGCAGTAAACTCAAGTCACTTTACAAAATGCAGCAGTTTGGCAGGGTGTTCACAATTCTTCCAACAAGAGCCTTCAAGTCAGTCCAAGTTGAAGGTTACTGTCAAGCTTGACATTAAACAAAAAATAATGACATGTTGTCTATTTAAAACAACTATTTAACTTTGCGTTAAGGTCTGCTAGCTTAATGCTAATATATAATGGGGAGCACCATAGACAGGCCAATGAATAGCATTGTGTTATCATTATAACAAACGCATGTAGACAGATAATAGAACAATACTTACAGGCATATATTCTTTATCTATGGTGAGAAATGACTAATGTTATTGCCGTACTGAGGAATAGAGATAGTCACCATGTAAAGTATATTCCTGTGTTATACTGCCCACAGGTGGCCAAGGCATACACACCAGAAGGAGCAGCGCAATGTCAATTGAACTGAGGGGAAAAAAGTGCCAAAAACTGTTTCATTTCTTTTCATTCCATGTAATTATGTCAAGCACAAATTATTTTATTAAAAAACACAAAAAAACAAACATTTTTGTTGGATTTTTTTGGTTTGTTTGTGTGTGTGTGTTGGGGCTGCAATGGATTAATGGCATTTCCATTCATCTCAATAGGGAATGATGGTTTGAATCAACTGTTTTGAGTTATCAGTGTGCTCACGTCACAAACTCGTATCTCCGGCACCAATGTATTGACAAACAACCACTCACACTTAGAAGGACAATTTAGAGTCTTGAATGAGCCTTACAAGCATGTTTTTTGGAAAGTGTGAGGAAGCCGTGGTTGCCAGAAAAAAAAAAAAAAAAAAAACAATGCAAAAATAGCATAGAACATGCAAAGTGTGTGAATGAAGACCAGAGCACCAAACTTTCAAAGTGTGAGGTGAGACTTTGGCTGAGACCACCTTTAAAATATAGTCAAAACCATGTGATCTGAGCACAGACACTCAATAGACCACTGAACAAGATCTTATGAAAAAAAAATCAATCTAGTTATTTGTAAGTGCATACCAGCGTTCCACTGCAATAACAAGCATAATGTTCAAAGAACACAGAATCAAAACTCAGCATGCCACAGTCCATGTGTTTTAATACAAGTTAGCCGTAATTGTTTTGTGATTGCATTTCTTGATCTGAGTGAAAAATCCCAGACAAGCATAAGTCATCTCTTAATTGAAACATTCCGCTTCGTACCAGTCAAGCGATGGTGGAGTTGTTCTCTTGCCTCGCTCTGCTACAGGCAGTGTGACATGACTTGCCATTGAGTGATGCTTTGAATGTGAGTGAATTGCAGTCCATCTCGAAACGTGCACCGCGACTGACTGATGACCAGCCCAGGGTGTAGTCGGCCTTTCCCATGCTAGCAAAGAAAACACCAATGCGAGAGGCCCCATGAAACACTTTTGGGAGGCAGGATGAAGCACATACTTGCAAACCGTAACCATACTTTGAAACCCTAACCTTAGTTTCGAAACCAAACACTGAGAGCAAAACAACTGGTCTGGGATGGCACCCCGTCCCAAATGGGCCAACAAGAATAAATGCAGGTTGAGTCCAGGTTTGAGCCAAAGTGAGCCAGGAAAGACCACATCAGAATCTGCTGGGGCCCACAAAAGGAGAAGCGCTGCAGCATATGCACTGGTCGACTTTTTCAAGAACAGCAAGGATGGACGCATTCAGACAGCTCTGTTTACTTCGGTCAAACTTGATTAGGCCTGTGTTGACTAGGAATGGACGCGAACAGCACTCAAATTCTCAGTCATGGCTCAGATTTTGGTCAGCAGTCAGATCCAGAAGTATATGTCCAAAAAATGTGTTGAATGTAAATGAGCCTCTTCTTACTAACTGCGCAATTGACTGTGAGATTCTCTCTGTGCAATCTAACAACGAGAAAGTCACTCACACTTGATTTGCAGCCACACGGCTGATTTGCAGCGAGGTGACAAATCATTGCCATGTTTGTCAGAGCATGAAAGGCTCATTTGGACACTTGGCAATTCCTACGTTAATTGCTCCAAATTCATATCTGAATTTCAGATTTCAATTTTAATTTCAGTTGTAGACTTAAGGTGAATTTTAATCATTGAAGGGGCACAAGCTTGCAAGATGTGCTCTCTTTATTTTTTCATTATCACACTGAAGAAAAAAAAACCTTGGGAATCTGTGTATAAAACAACCAACAAAATCAAACTTTTAACATTAACTACCATTCAAGTCAATATAATGGGCAGTTAAAATACACAAAAAGAGAAAAACTGTATAAACTAACTTGACTTCAGTTGTGTGTTTTTTTGTGCAACTTTTGAGGAGGATTTTTCAGAACATATTGGACAAATTCCAAATGGTACGACCTTTAGAGCATTTGATTTTGTACATTCGATCCTGCGTCGATCATTTAAGACCCTGTCTAATGAAAAGAGATATTGTCAGACTTGACACTCCACAGAGAAGAGTGTTGTGAACAACCCTGACAAACTAGAATAAAAAACAAAAACTATGAAAATGAGCTTTCATGAAAAACCAACCTTTGTCTCCACACTCAAATGCTGTAGGCATGTCCAAAGATTGCTTGTGACCGGGCCCCTTTGAAAAATGGATTTTACTTTATCCAGCATCTTTCGTGTGCTTCCACATTCCTACATGTTTGAGCCATAAAATATATCCACTTAAAGCCTCCGGGGGGGGG